CGAGCAGCATGGACACATTACTTGCGACATTATGTTGAACACAATGATAATACAAAAATGTCCCTAACATTTTTTATATAAAATACATTGATAAAGTGTGGTATGAATACAATGCTTATTTTTTGAAAAAAAAAATAAAATACTACTATTAAAGGGATGGGAAAGAATTCGAAATTATTACAATTATTTAGGAGATGTGGAAATTTCGAACCCGGAACCCATGAGTAGAAACATAACATCCTATCTACTAGATATTGGACTTATGAAAGAAAAAATAAACATTTGAAATAACATATCCCATCTAAGGGTAACCACATTTTAAAAGACAGAAGAAGTCATCGAATGAGCCTCCATTGCACAGTCGATAAGCATAAAAGTACCAGTCACACTAACTCCAACTGTTTAGCTAATTACAACACATCAAACACGATACTCTCAAGAATATCTATGACTAGTGAAATTACACAAGACAACATATAAAATACTAACAATAACCACAACGAGGAATGAAATTGGAGCCGAGTAGAGGAGGCCAGCAAAGATGATGGCAAGGAAAAGAGTGGTTATTAGTTCAGGTCCTACGGCAGAGCCATCAGAAGTAGCAACTTGGTAATCATGCAGATCATGAGAAGCGCCTCTGGTCGAACTCAGATTTGTTGACGTTCTGATGGCCTTAATCTCGTCCGAATCGGAGATTCGATCATCAGCAGCAGCAATGCCTGGAGGTTCTGAATCTTGGACTACTTGCTTTACGTGAACGTTTTTACGATTGCATGCATGTTCTGCATGTAATAATTATCAATAAATAAGTTAATTAATAAACTCTAATTAATTCGTCGGAAGGATTTAATGATATAACAGATATAGTTTACACTCAATTAATCTAAAATGCGAAAAGAGAGATTCGAGCTTGTGTACATTAACAGAGATTGAGGGAAAAAAAAAAACACTTACCAGTGTCAATCCATCCTTCACAAAGAGTCAATGCCATCAAGAAGAAGAAGATCGCGGAAACTTTTACGAAAGCCATGCATTCGATCAAAACACTAAAAAGTTATGGAATGAGAGAAAGAATGGGTAGAGGATAGGTTAAGATTAATTGTTCTTGTATATAAGTGAAAGATGTGGTTCTCTAGCCTCTAGGGTTTTCTCCATGACCGTGAGGGAAACAAAAACTCAAACTTTCCTACAAAACTTAGGAAAGTTCATTAATTTCCGATTTTCCTTTCGTTAAAGAAAGAGGAAAGATTTGATTTATGAGTTATGAATCCATGGGGCTGGTTAATAGATTAGGGAAGGTAAACGATTTACCACCCTGATTATTGATAGTCTATGAATTTATTTTTAAGTACAACAATATATTTTACACTAAGAGAAGGGAAGAGTTCGGCTAAACCATACAATAGACAATCTAATTTGGTATCGAATTCGTCATCTACGAGATTTGAACCTAAAACCTCTTGCTTACAATAAATGCAGAGAAATATCATCAGACCGTAGTACTGAGTAGCATAATCCATAAAATTTTGAATTCAATAAATTAAAAGAGAATTAAGGAACAAAAATAAACAGGACATGCCGAAGAAGAAAAGCGTATTCAGAAATCTCTTAGCTATTTTGACCAATAAATAAATAAAAATCTCTTAGATATTAACCAAAAAGGAGATCCTATATGCAGAAGCATAACCAATCCCTTTCCTAATATGATCTTTTTAAATCGGTCCAATTTAAACCAAAATAAAAAAGAATAGTCAACGGCTTCAACAGAAATCGTAAATGTAATTTTCTCAGATAAAAAATCTAAGCCTTGTTGATAAAAAAAAAAGGATAAATTATACAAAATTACTTTAAATGTGGGTCAAACCACAATCTCATAGCTCATGTTTGTAAACATTACAATGCCATACCTCCCAATTTCCATCAACAACAAAGATGTTCCTAAACATGACCCTAAACTAGTCCTTGTCTTGACAAGGGACATCTTGAATGTGTAACTCTCAGACAAGGCTAGGTCTAGTTGAGAAGTAGTAATGGTCGTCAAAACTCATCATGAGGATGTGCAGTATCCTGAATTCTTGAATGCCAAGGTAGGCTCCATACCATTGATTTAGTAATTCGAAGAAGGTGATAAATCTGAAGGTTGCTGGGGAAAGATTACAAATGGCCATGTTGTAGCACAACAAGATACTTTTCAAGAAATCAGAAAGAGGAAAATGAAGATCCAAGTCCAAAAACTAAGGATAAATCCTAGTGTAGGGATGCTGAGGATCAAACAATATACTGTGAGTGCAGCGTGAATATCTTGACCTGGCTCACACCAGACTTTAGATTGGCCCAAGAGATCTTGGTGATTTTCAATGAAGGTTTGACCTTCCTCCCGAGTATGAACCCTCGTTAGAGCAAGTCCACCCCTAAGGACTTTGCGCCAGCACCCAGCGCATTTATCCACTAGAGTGAACAGTAATAGACTGTAGTGAACAGTAATAAGCCAAGGCATCTCCACTCCTAAAAAAATGCGCTGGCACCCAGCGCATTTATTTGGTGTTTTTTTTTTTTTTAAGTTTATTTCATATAAGATTTTTAACCAATTTCGGATAAAATTTCAAATAAACTTAAAAAAAACACACTAAAATAAAATTACATACTCATCAAATAAACTTAAAAAAAAACACACTAAATAAATGTGGTGTAAGGTGGAAGATGAGGGTTAGGTATTTATAGAAAAAAAAATAACTTTTTTAAAATTTTACTGTATTTTAAAAAAAAAATTGTATTTATTTTAATTAATTTTAATATAGTTAATTAATCTAGACCGTTAGATTTGAAAAATATTCAAATCCAAGAGCCCAGCATCGGCCACATGGCCATGCGCCAGCAAATGGCCCGGCTTCTTGGTCAGCCTGTTTTGTGCTGGCCCAGAGACCAGCATGGGCTAGGTGCCAGGCTGTTGCGAGGGCTGGAGGACATGGACAGGGTGCTGGGCTGCTATTTGGACTGAGTGCTGGGCAAAGTCCACTCTGGTGGACTTGCTCTTAGTGGAAGGCTATAAGGCAAATTTTTAAGTGATTTGGTACTTTTGCTTGAAGAGGACATGGGTGAGGCTTCGAGAAAACAAGGAGAGTTTTTGAATTGGTACGAGAAGAAAGTTGAAGCCTTTTTTTAACGACTAGTGATTAGTTCTGGTAAAACGGAAGGAAATGGTCTGAGGATATATAGGCGTCATTTGACAGAATTATCTAGTTGTCGAACACGGAAAGACTTACTCAGGGATTAGTGAATCCGACGGTTAAAACATTAGTACTAAATATCAGAGGAGATTGCTTATTTTTCGTGTACCTGCCACAAATGCAAAGTCTCATAATTATGAACTTTATGGAGCGACAATTCATGCACCAATTGGCCATTAAAGGCTAGTCTATCGCCACTATCTAAGTGTCCGAATAATGATGCCCAAAAACCAACAAGTTGTGTGCCATTAAACTTTTGATGCATCATTCCTAGCACATGACTTGCTTGAGAAATGTTGTTAACCCTTTTTCTATACGATTCTTCCTCTTCTGTTGCTAGTTGAACCCCATGAGTTGCCATCTTCTGTACACATAATGATATAAGCATTCAACACAAACAAATTGAACAATATATACCATGATAACAACCAAATTCAATAATGTATAACATTAACACAACATGTCAACAAGTTTTCATAACAATATATCTACAGTAAACAAACCTTCATGACTTAAGTAATATCAAGTTAATTAAGAAAATTAACAAAGATTTTATCAATACAAATCATTCCCTACTCAACAATATTAACTTCAACAAAACAAAATTGAACGACCTATCCCTTTTACACAACCTATCAACAACATTCCATAAACCCACATCCCACCAAAATTTCCCAAAAATTCCACAAATTTCAACTAATTTCATCAACCAACTTGCATAATTAACCATAAACACTAAATTAATTAATCAAATTTACATAAACAACAAAACATTTCTAGTTTTCCAAATTTCCAAACTCACCAAATTTCAAATTTACTTTGGGAAATGAAGTATGACGTCAACTATTGGGGAATCAAGAACTCTGAACTCAACCCCAATCAAGCAAGCACCATGTCTTTTTTGTGGACCCGATTGCTCACCCTCAAACCAAAGTCACCTAAATTTCTAAACTTCTGTATGGAAGTGCAGTTAGGTTGGAGACGACAAGCATAACCAAACTATGACTGGGTTTTGAATGCAAGGAAATTTTCGAACAGTAAACAAGTTTTCGACGGGAATGATGTTTGAGGGTTGGCAGGAGATGAAGAGTTTTGGGTGAAGAAGACAAATTTAAGATCGTAACTGCTAATGTCCCGGGGTGGGGGGGAAGAGAGACTATAAATCCCAAAAATTTTGAATTGATACCGGGTGCCATTTTCAATTAGTGAATGATCATTTAGGGTGCGTTTGGTACGCAGACGGGACGGGACGGAACGGGACGGAACGGGACGGGACGGGACGGGACGGGACGGGACGGGACGGAATGGGACGGAACGAAGGTGTAATTTTTGAAAAAGACATGGGGTATATTTGTCTTAAAATGGTAAAACATTGTGTTCCACAGACGTGGAACAAACCCGTTCCAGGGGGGGAGGTGGAACGCAAAAACACCCAAAATCTGTCCCGTGGAACAGCCCGTTCCACCCATTTTTGGCGCACCAAACGCGGGACGGAACGCCTCGTCCCGTTCCGTCCCGTCCCACGTACCAAACGCACCCTTATGACCCGGATTTACCCTATACTTATTTTGATAGATTAGTTTTTAACCATTCAAATTTGATCTACCGGCCCACATTCCGTCAGCATACAAAGTTCGCAAAATGCGGTCCGCATTTTAAAAACGCGAAAGCCTATCCCTCCACACGGTCCAACCCAAGAAGTAGGACCGAAGACGAAGAGCTTGTCCAATTTAGTGACAGAATAAGAAAAAGGCGACAGAAATATGCTGATAAATACGCATAAACTTACATTGAACCCTGCACACACACCCAGCACAAAGAAAAATAGAAGAAAGAAACAGAGAGTAAAAAGATGGCTTCCATGGCGTACCCAGCAAGCTCCTCCTCCTCCTACAACCACTACAAGAATTACAGCAAACTGAAACAGCGTACCAGTTTCTCCATTCCCCATCGTATCATAGTTTCTCATAAGCAGCAGCAGCAGCAGCAAAACGATCATAAACCCACCGACCCAATTGGTCGAAGGTGCTCCTCTCTCTCTCTCTCTCTCTCTACATATACATACATACATACATACATACATATATATATATATATATATATATATATATATAATTTCTGATAAAAACATTATAATGTTGAAGGGAAATAATACTGAGGAGCAGCGAATTGGCAGTGGTAGGAGCCATCTTCAACTTGAGGTACATAGTTCAATCTTATCTATTACCCCAGCTGAATTTTTGGATCATTCAATTTATAATTTAATTTAAAAATCATGTTTTTCCAGAACAGTTTTTGTGTAATTTAATTGGGTTTGATGGGCTGCAGTGGTAAAAAGCCCGAGTATCTTGGGGTGCAGAAAAATCAGCAAGCTTTGGCTCTCTGCCCAGCTACTAAGAATTGCATATCAACCTCTGAAAATGTCAGTGACCTTACCCATTATGCCCCTCCCTGGTATGTTTCTTCTTCTTCTTTAATCTTTATCCATTTTTCTTCTTTTATTTAAAGGTTTAATAGAATTTGGCGATGAGATGAATTCAGGTTTCCAGAAGGTTTACCAACTTCCTAAACCTCATGATGTTGCTAATTCTCATGTCTTGCTTTTCTATTGTTTTAGTTTAGTGCTCATGTTATTTTATTGAGAATTTTCCCAAATGCTTTAATTAAGAACGTTAATCAAGTTGTCCAAAAAAAAAAAGAATGTTGACCAAGAACTTTATATTTTGTATTGTTGTGGTGTTTTTTTTTAAATCAAGAATTTTAATCAAAAGCTTTGGCAATCACAATATATTATACATTTTGATATACAAATTAGAATATGTTGAGGGATAAGAGATTTGGGTTAGGGTTCATTTGGAAAGTGTTAAATGACTGGTTGCTTTTAGGGAAAATATTTTTAGAACCAATCTTTAATAAAAATGCAAGTTAATTCTAGAAAAAATACGCTTTTGAAACACAAAAAAAAAATTCTTTAAAAGTCCTTTCAGTCATTTGAAAGCAATTTTTCAAACGAGCCTTTAGCCTTTGTGTTGAGCTCAGAGTTCACGTGAATCAAACCTAAGACCCTCTTATTTACAAGTAAAAAAACTTGAACTATACTAAAAAAACATATAAAAAACATGAATGCTTTTTGTGAATGAACTATACAAAACATATTGATAGGTATAAATTAATGACTCATACTTCCATACATTCTCTCTTCTTTATTTATCATTCGAAGGTGTCATACACAAACTAATCCACTATACTTGCTAAACTTTTTGTGAAAGCCCTAACAAGAACCAAATTAAAAAGATCAATTCGAAACATTACAAAAGTAGATAAACTAAACCAAGAACTAATTAAAGAAACATAATGATCAAAATAAGTTGAGATATGATCAAATGAAACACCTTCATATGAAATTGGATTCACTCCAGACCTTAGTATCTAGAGCCTAAAAATTAAAAAATTTGGACGACACAAATTAAATATGATGATTCTCATTAACGAGAAATTTTTAGTTGTGACGGGAACACAAGTGGTACACCACGTGTTTTAATAGGAATTGTGGGAAATTTTATTTTTTAAGGTATTAACTTTTTAGCACACATATCCCATCATTTGTTTAATGACACGTGGTATACCACCTCGTGTGCTGGTCACACTGAAAAATCTCATTATGATGGCACACCTTATATAAACCAACGACTTTAATTTCTTTTCTACACAAATCAAAGAACTAGATTTTTTAATCCTTAAGCTTTGGACATTAAAGTCGGAGCAGATCCAATTCCGTGTCATATGAAATTCGTCCTTTTAGTATTTTTTTAACTTAAATTTGTTTAGATGGGTTTTGGGTGTCTCAAACCCTAAATCGATGCAATGAGTTTAATGAGATGGTGGAACTTTGACCAAATGAAGGGTCAAACCTGGAAGGCTGCAATCCACTAAACTTTCTAAAGCAAGACGCCCATGTGGGGAACGTATGGAGTCAATAGACCAAATGTCTCCTCATCCTTCCACCGACCGTCAAGTAAAATGTGCTCTCTTTGCTATTAAATTACAGGAACTACAATGGAAGTAGGAAAAAGCCGGTCAGCAGAGAAGTTGCGATAGAAGAACTTCTCCAAGTGGTAAAAGCACTTCAAACATGTTTCCATTTGTCATTTATGTCCACTTAAATCAGCAAAACTCATGCCACTTAGTACTACGGAATAGTAGTATTCCTCTTTATTTGTAAGTGGAAATCTTAGGTTTGATTCTTCCCAAAGACAAATTTGAACCACATTATTGCTAGCTAATTACGAGGCTTATCCCACTTGCTTACCCCTTAGTGTAGATAAATATTGTTTGTTTAAAAATTAAAAAAAAAAATCAGCAAAACTCATATCTCATAACTCATTTTGCAGATTAAATCGACAAAGCCAGACAAGTTCACACCACAGATCATGGAGAAGAGAGACGACTATGTTCGTGTGGAGTACCAAAGCGCTATTTTAGGGGTAGGTGTAACCCGTAACCCGGATTTTAGAACATAAAATGAGTTTCTGACATTAGTGTACGTGTACGTGAATGACTGTTAGTCGTCAATCAACGTAGGATCTATAACAATAACACATGGATTGTTCTTGTGTTCGTGCAGCTTGTGGATGATGTAGAGTTTTGGTTTCCACCAGGCACCGACTCAATAGTCGAGTATCGATCGGCATCCCGGTTGGGGATATCCGATTTCAACATCAACAGAAAAAGAATCAAGGTGAGCACTGCAAACAATCTCAATATTGTCACCCATACCTAACAACTGCATTCATAAAAACAACCTTCATTTGAACTCATTCCCGTCTTTTACGACAGGCATTGCGGCAGGAGTTGGAGAAGAAAGGTTGGGCGTCGAAAGACAGCTTTTGAGATCCTGTTACCGTTTCACAATAAGATCATATGCAATTCGATCAACGATCATGCAGATAGATCAACATTGAATCTCAGAATTTCAGATTTTGGCAACCAGTCATGTCATGATTTTTGTATTCATACCAAAGATATCAGATATGTTCTTTTACTCAAGACACCCAAAAAAGAGAAATTCTAGTCTTACTGTCTAAACACAACAAACAGTGGAGCATATGAATTTCCAATTTCTTTTGGGCACACATCAGTCCTTCCTCAGCTCCATATACTCATATCTGGTGCCATCCGCATTGAGGACAACAATCTCCAGCCTGTCGCCCTGTAAGACATCCATGAGTCAATGACACATTAAAGAACGAGGTTCATATGAGCTTGATACAAAATGGACACATATTAAAAGGACTGGAAACTTACAGTGTAAATATCTCTTTCAGTTGCAGATGCAAAACAAGTTTTGACCAAGTCGATCGCTTCTGCTTCCGACAGCGGTGTGACAGCATCCTGCACATTAATAACAAACAAATATGCAGTCCTAAATTGTGGGGCAGATTAATCACATACAAACAACCAATAGTATGACGCAAACTAGTAATCAAAATCGAGAACAAACCTGGGCAGGCAATAGGAGTGGGCTAGGAGACTTCAATTGGTTGTCCAGAAAAGGAATGATAAGTGTAGAACCAGAACCTTGGGAGCTATACCCAACCCTCTCATAGGAACCAACAGCATCATATGTGAAGACGCAACCCTTACCTGCAGATTAGTAATTAAAATTATTTGTTAGCAGGAATAGTCTCAACTGGCAGCCAAAGGTTTTAAACTCTAAAATTTACCTTCACTATCTAAGCCACCCAAAACATTAAATGCGTAGTAGGGGAAGAACCGCTTGTAGTAAAGGGTGTTGGAAAGCAGTTGAGCCATCGCAGGGCAGCTCATTTGTTTGTTATGTTGATGCTGATAAGTCTGGGAAACAATGACAAAAAGGATGTATCATCAGTTCTTGGCATAACTCAATATTTATTACATGCCAGCGTAAATAAATCTTGCCTATACATAGTAAAAAACATCTGACGCCATCTGTTGCATTGCAAACGAATAGCGTCCAAAAAAAAATACAAAGTATTGTAACAGGATTTTGAAGCCTCACCAAGTGCTTAGCTGCCAAATGCTTTTGCAAAGCTTTCACATCAGCTTGAAAACCAGAAGATGCCAATACAGCTTTGTCCGCTCTGCAAGTTCAAAAGACAAAACAGTAAGACCAAACAATATCATCAAGTAAATCTGTAAATGTGATGAACAAAAAATCAACACTCCATCGACATAAAATAGTACCTCAAAAGACTACTAAGGGCTGATGTACTCTTCTATCTTAAATTATCAACCCCTCTCCTTCTCTTCTATTTGCACCTTTGCTTCCCTCAGTTAGCAACCATAACTTATCACTAACAATTTTTTTGGTATATCTGGAAGTTTTCACATAACAATGAGGAAAAAAGGAAAAACCCATGCCAAAGTTGAACCAATTTTGCATCATGTTTTTGTCTGTTATACTAAACTTCTCTCTTCCCCAACTAATTTATCACCTTTGCAATCTGGGGCATACAGATCACTCCATACATACCCCAACTGCAATGTTATACACTTTTCATATGCCTACCTACCTTTAATTCTCTGCCTCACTGTTTTTCTTTTTCGTTTTCTTTTTTTTTTTTTTTTGCTGCAGTACCTTCATATTCATTTTTTTTCTCTTCATCGGCTCTTATCTTTTAATTCTATCTTCCTAGTAATTTCTTAAGCTGTGCTCAGGACCTCACCTGGATATAAGCCTATTTCTAAAATTAGTACAGTATATCGTTTGGTCAGGGTTTCGGAAACCTATTGGTTCCTCAGCATCGAAATTTAGACTAAGGTGCTTTAACAATCTGGTCTGACACAGTGACACTAGCTCAGGTACTCAATCCTAGCAGCGTCGATTCATATCTATTTTGTTTTGCACCTTGATACTTTCATGCTTTTTAATACTTCAAATGAGAATCTTTGATTTAGCTTATGAATACAGAAGCTTCAATTCCTAACTCAATTTCTCTTCAGCATAATTTCATGCTTTTTTATACAGCAATAAAACGTTTTTGGTGCATATTCCCCCTGATATTTATCATCTGCTACTTTTTTGTACATATTTCAGTCAGTGGAATCAACCATAAAAATGATAGCAAACACAATAGCTATCCCAAAAATGATTAGCAGTAAACCTGCAAGCATTACAAATGTCCAAGAAGCACACTGTTATAATCACCACACTTCCTATAAGCCATCTAAAGAAAGCATTTTTGCTCACCACTCTTAAATGGTGACCATTACCACCGTATTAACCACCGTTGGACAAGTGTGATTTACTCTAAGTACTACACAAATCTCGAAACTCATACTCATCCAACAGTAGTCAATACGATAGTAATGGATAGTAATGGTCAGCATCGCCAGGGGGTAGTGAGCAAAAATCCCGCTAACTAAATGCAATGTACCTTCCCCAAAACCCACTAGGCTAAATCTCTAATACAGAAGTAAAAAACACAAACCCAAGTGGTAATTAAAAATCAAACCTAACCACGAGCAAAATAAAATCAGATAAAACCCTAAAAACGCCAACAAAAAATTCCTAACAGCAGTAAAATCAGATAAAATTAAACACAGCAGAGACATTCGAATCTCCGAAATCGAGTGCATAAATATAAAAATTCATGAAAAAAATTTATATAAATACGAGAGAAATTGGTATAAAAGCATACAATTTGCAGATTTTGGAGTAGTCGCGGGTGAGAATACTGTAACCGGTCGACATCCGAGTATCGGCGGCAATCACACAGTAGTTGGCTCCGGCGATCGCCACACAGGACCTGCAATAGGCACGAAAATATTAAAATCCCCAAAAATAAAAAATAAAAAGAGGAAACGACGATATTGTTGCAGGGAAGGAGAGAATACATACCCGCCATTGTTGTCATAGGGGGACCAGTTAGCGTGCTGCTTGGTCATGGCGGATCGGTCTGGGTTGAGAGAGAGAAGCAAAATTAGGGATTGGAAGTGGAGAGTGAGGTCTCTGGGTTCAAACACCTTGCTTTTCTTCGTTCAGATCCCACGGTGTCGTTTGCTTCAAGAAATAAATCGGGCTTACGGTGTCGTTTTGGTGTGGGGGGACTAGAACTAAAGACCGAGGCCCACGTCGCACAGATTGGTTAGAGAATAAGGCCTCAATACACTCGACCAGCCCAAAATGTAGTTCTATTTGGCAACAATTACGCTTTGCACCCACCACTTAATGTAAATTGTTATTCTGCCCTACTTATAATGAGAAGTTTCAGGTTCAGCTCTCATGAATATATCTAGCATTCTTGCCGTATTTTTTGTGTTCGTGTCATTTTCATGAACACTCGTTAAAGTAAACGGGTAGTATGACCTAACCCGAAATCAACCTACTAATATTATCAGATAATATGACCCGACCCGTTACCCTTTAGAAAAAATATATTTTAAATCAATAAATAATAAAAATGATAAACATAATTTGACCAAATAAAAATGAAAATATAATACTGAATTAGTATATGCATACCATAATGCCATATAAATATTACTTCAAAACAAAAAAAAATTAAAAAAAAATTGTCTTTCAAGTATTATATAGTTTAATGAAAAAATATCAGTACATTACTACAAAATACCATATGTTCAAGGATATGCAAAATGAAGATAGTTGTGTTTCAAGGTTGAAGAACCATGCACGTTTTTTTAATGTGTTTTATAATTTTTTTAATCTCACTCTTTGCCTATAGTATTGACACACCCCGAGTATGATGATGTGGAAAATTGTGAATAAATTTAAACCTAAGAGTGCCTAAAAATCAGAGTGAGCTGGTGAGCGGGAATGAACCCACTTCACATGTGACATTAGAGCATAAGTAAGTGCAATATAGTGGATTAAGAATCATACCCTCGCAAGAAATCTCCAATACTAAGATTTGCCACGAATCATCGACGATAAGAAAGCTCAGTTAATAAAACCAAAAGGGTGAAAACTTAACAAGGGTGAGTGGCCCTAGAAATAAAAATTTTAATAGAAGCATTCTAAAATGTTATAACCCCTCGATGCATCACTTGTATAGTTTCTAGAAAATCATATCACGTATCAATGTGAAATAAAAAATATATCAACAGTAATTCCATAAATATACCACGACCCAGCAACTCATCAGTAGTATAAATAATCATGTGGTTAATAATCTATATTAGCAAGCAAGTCGGAGTCATCTAATGTGACCTGTACAACTGCACCCATATCTCATCAATCAACGTCAGCATGTAAGTCGGAGTCATTTATAGTGACATATACGACTTATCCATATCTCATCAATCAATGCTAGCTCATAAGTCAAAGTCACCTATAATGATATGTACGACTTATCCATATCTCATCAATCAATGCTAGCTCATAAGTCAAAGTTACCTATAATGACCTATACGACTTAACCCATAGCTCATCACATATCCCTGCACACGAGTCGGAACCACCTTTAGTGGTCTACAAGACATGCTAGGCGTAAATAATTACGCTCAAGTGCTACGATCACGTGAAGGCTGTGTGAAGTATCGCAAGTCATCTACGAGTTGGAACCACCTAATGTGGTATGTACGACAGGCTGGCATCTACCTTGAATCCAAGGTGAGCTTGTGGTGCGGGAGGTGAACGATCACGTGAAGGCTAGGCCCTGGCCACGGGCAGGAGCACTAACACCGGTGTGCAAGTTTATGAGCTTTAATTGCATCTATTATAACATGTACGTCTCATGGGCAACCTATACGATAGTGTCGGAGTTGCCTATCATTGCAACTTGTACGACAAGGTCGAATTTGCCTAAAACGTACATGTAGTCATGCCATAACTCCATCATTTCAACTAATACCATAAATACCATAAACTCACCTGAACTTACCTGGGTGTCCTGTGTTCACCTTTGCACTTCAAAGCGTTCATAATAATTACAAGCAGGTAATATACATATGGATATACCATGATGCAATCTAATACTCAACCATGTCATAGCATTTACAATTATATATATATATATATATATATATATATATAATATGGCATAAAATGCATAAGCTGTAATGCCTTACTCAC